AGGGCTCCCGGGGCGAATCTGGCTCCTGTTGGGGCCGCGACGAACCAGCAGCTCCTTAAAGGAGACATTTGATTTTTGTCTACACAGCAGCATAGCCTGGAGGATTGGCTTCTGATGAGGCTTTGCCTCCGAAACTCTTTGTAGATTTCTTCTTTAGGATTTTCCTCTCTGCCTTTCTACTGAAGTAGTTTCTGGAACCATCCTGGCAGGTCAGATCTAAAGGAATGGATATCTATCTGATCCCTCCAATGCTAGTGGGAATTGTTTTGGGTGTTAGGCCCCTCAGCCTGCTTCACCCGTTCCAGTCAGAGAGGTGGGTTCTCAGCAAAGCTTCCTTGCACATCCTGCTACTTTTGTCCTCAGGCCCTTACTGGATGGATAGACTCTCACTTCCTTTGCTCCCTGTGCTGTCTGACTGTGTGGGTACCTTTAGGTGCTCAGCCCAAACTCCATAAGATTGTTGTTGTGGGCAGGGTTTAGCACCGATAGGAAGGTGGCAGTAGGAAGGGCCCAGGCATGTGGTAATAGTCACTGTGCCTGTGGTGTCACAGTGACTGTGACAGGAGAGCTGTTTCCCAGGGCGCTTGGGAGGACGGCCGGGTGGGGCCAGGGAAAAAAGGGCCAGCACTTGGCCACAGGAGCCCCTGTGCATTCACTGACCAGTGTTGCTCCCAGTTTGGATTCTAGAGCATGAGTGGCCTTGAACCTTGGCCTAGTGCTTTGCGCCAGGCCAGAGTCTGGGCTGTGCCAGATGCCGGCAGCTTTCTCACTGAGCGAGCCCTGGCTTGGCCCTGTGTGCCGGCACAGGATCCAGCCACTGAGGGAAGGAACAGACCGGGCACCCTGCAGACCGGGGACTCTCAGAACTGGAGCCGACTACAAACCCAGGTGCCTTACGTGGGGCTCTGCCCCGTATGCTGCTGGGGAAAGCTGCGTCGCCCTCCTCCCCTGCCGTCTGCGGACACACAGCAGCACTGCCTCCGGTCCTGTTTCTCATCGTGCCTCTCTAACACGTGTGTTTCCTGCCGAGCTTCAGAATCACCCCTTCTCTCTGTGACAGAAGCTGATCGGGCAAGTTTCTACTATTTGAGATTTAATTATCATCTAGGTTGTGGTCTCAAGAGCTGCCCAGAGCTCTCTGCTCAGTAGAGTGTCTTGGAAATGTGTCCCAGGGCAGACTGTGTCTTGTACACTGTGGGCTCCTGTCTGCAGTGTTAGCTTTTCTAGGAGGAGGACCGGGAGGGCCGAAGAGGCAGGCACTCTGGCATGAATAGGGCTGTGGCCTCTTCCCCGTTAGCTTGCCTTAGTCTCACTGGAGACTGTTTTGAGGCCAAGTGCTCAGACTGTGCCCAGCAGGATGGGGTTTGCCGTTTACGACCGAAGGGCTGGTGTTCTGTACCTGAGACTGGATTCCTGTGTCTAGCTACTCAGGAAATCTTGAGAAACATTACTACTATGGGGTGTTAACCAGGGTGAGTTTGAAATTCAAGCTTTTGTACCTGAATTAGAGACAGACTTGGAAGTCATACTTTCTCTGAATGTAGCTGAACCAATCAGAAGTTGAATCAGGAAGCCGTGTTATTAAGGAATCGGGGCTGTTGATAGCCATCATCTTGTGGGTGATACAATAGAACACAAAAACTCCGTGCATGGGAGACCAGGCCCTCTGTTCAGAGCTGGCATCTGAGAGGCAGCTCCTGGAGGGGACACATTCCAGTGGACTGGCAGGCCCACCTGGTGCCACGGGGCCTGCCGCCTGCACCCCTT